TTAAGGCCCAACCTTAGCCAGGGCGACCTCATCTTAATTAATTATACCTGAGAAGAGCCCAGTTCCAAACAAGAGTCCCAATCACGGGTACTACGGGTTAGGACTTTTAACATATGTTTTGGGGGGACACAATTCAACCCACAACAATATTTGAGTCAAAAGTAGGAGTCATTCCACTTCTGCAAGGTGGCCACACCCTTTAAAACATTTAAAAGTCATCATGCAGCAGTGGGCTGAGCAAACGTTTGTGAAAAAGCTGCATGGAGTGGCTCCTGAGGACAAAGACGTCAGATGACAGCACACAGGTAAGAGCCAAGCACTGTGCAGCACAGCACCTTCGTCCCAAAAACACGCTCAACTGGATGAACAGCATGACGGAGGGGCCACTGCTGTGCTCAGGCACAGGACATACGCAGGCCCCTCCTGTCAGGCTGCAGCGTCCTGGCTGCTGGCAGTGCCCCTTCGGCAGGGCCGTGGGACGATACTACTGCAACTCCACAACCAGAGGGGCTCCGCGGAGAGAGACGTTGGACTGAGCAGCTAGAGTGTGTGCTAGGTTCCTGCCGTGCAGGTTCGCTGGGCGAGAGGAAATAGCTCTACAACGCAGCCCTAACCCTGCAAGAGCTTACACTAGAGTCAGGGTGTGAAGCGATTAGAAACACTCATGACACAAAGCCTGCACAGCACACACGTGCCAACCTGCACAGCCAGGTGGCCATCAGGCCCAGCATCAGGTTGCTACCAGAGTCTGGGGGGGTGGAGGGGGGCTCACGTCTGGGAACCATGTCTGCAGAAGGCGGCCAAGGCTCTCCTGGATTTATCCACATACTTCTTTGCAGCTACAAACTTTTCTACAAGTTTGGGGCACATCAGTGAAGGGCACAAATAGCCCTGCTCTTAGCTTACACTGAATGAGGCTAACTGGCCAGCAACCTGAAGTTTTAAACAAAGGCTACACTGGGAAGTGTGAGGTGCTGTCGAAAAAAGAGCAGTCGACTAGGCTCAGGGCACCAGGCATACGGGAAATGGGGCGGGCAAGCAGCTGTTGTTCCAAGAGAGGGCAGGGCTGGAGAAGTGGCACGTGGGTCGGGGCTTGGCAGAAGGTGAGGAGGGGAGCAGGCACTCCCTGGGAGTGGTCCAGGCAGAGGCACAGCTGCTGTAGCGATGCCCGAAGGTGCAAGGGACCCGCAGGATACTGGTGTGGCTGGTATGGAGTGCACAGCACACAGCAGGAGGAGAGGGCTGACGAGACCGAGCTTCCTGACTTCCATTCCAGAGGGTAGTCAGAGCCCCAGGCAATATTCCTATCTCATGTTGAGAACAGGCGAGAGGCGGCAGCACCTGAGGTGACAACACGGGGTCGGACTCTGAAAGTCTCTGAAGGATTTCAACAGACTGGACAGAGCATGTAAAAAAGGGCCCAAGAGGGCTGCTGCCTCAGGTGGGAAAATGTGGGGTGAGCAGGCTGGCGGGGACCATGAGTAAGTCAGTGCCCACATGCCAGCTGGGCACACAGGGTAGACCTCCACGAAAATGCTGAGCAGACATCAGGGCTAGAGGGGTCTTGGCGGGGCTGGGGAAGCCAGCCCTCCTCCATGTACCGCAAAGACCATGGTTGGCTCCTTCCCTCAAGACACACAGTCTCCCCCCCACAAAGGCAGAATCACCTTGCTATTTACCCATGACAACAGGAAGAAATTATGGTGCCAAGAGACCAAAAAACCCAAGAGACCAACTGGAAAACAACTGCAAAAATTGAGAGAGCAGTAAGCTGAGGACACACAAAAATCTTTTTAACAACTCAACTGCCTTCCTGTATACAAAAAGAAGTTTGGAATTATAGAAGGGAAACTCCCATATACAGTACCATCAACAAGAGGAAATTTAGGACTATATGTAATAAATGTACAACATCTATATGAAAATAATCTCTAAATACTAAAGAATATAAAAAAAAACAAATGAAAGGACCGGCCGAGTGGCATGATGGTTAAGAGCTGGCTTGGGACGCCAGAGGGCCCCAGTTTGGATCCCACATATGAGGGCCAGTGACACTGCCCTCTACAGCTGGGCTGCCATGAGTCGCCCGCTGCGGTGTAGGCTGCAGCCCCTGCTGCAGTGGGTTGCCATAAGCTACCGTGTAGCCAGCAGCTGCAGTGAGCGGCCGTCCAGAAGGCGGCGACTGATCTGCCTC